TGTAAATACTAATTTTTCATATAAGCGTTCTTATAAATGCTATGCAAAGTGCATCATTATAGTTAAAATTATTAAATATTTCTTAAAGTTAAGTTAGTGCCGCCTACATGTCCCTAGAGGGCAGCTATATCAGTGTCGGAATGCTTGGGAAGCAAGGCATTCCTGGATCCTTGTTAAATAATAACATACATTTAGATATCCATTAAGGTAGTTCATATAATATTATATTATGGGTCCCTTAATATTGACTTGCACACCCACTAATATATACCAAGTTGTAGCACTGGACTATATGTATGCGCACAACACCAAGTCTGTCTTGCTAATTGTACCTATGCAATTTTATTCATTGCAATCGAAAAAATTATATTGAAACTACTCAATTCCACTTGATATTCATCTTTTTTAATATGATGAATTATAGCTTGTAAGTTTAGTGATTCCGTCGATTAAAATTTATTTGCCAGCTCGTTAATTGGGCAAATAAATAGTTACACCTAAAAATAAATTCCGTGATCTGAAATAAATAACGTATTCCTACCGACATAAATCAAAAATTACATTGTAATAACGTTTCGCCGCAGGAACAAGTGAACTCTAATTTAAGACACAGTCGCCGAGTAGGTTAAACTAGTAGCTGCGTTCACTTTCATTTTGTCCGTGATCGGCGGACACGAGGTACTGCAGTTGCCGTACAATAGTCAATCGATTGCGGGAATTCCAAGACGTAGCAATGGTATCACATGTGCGTAGGGTCCAATATCTGTCATTATATTTAGTGCTTATCACGCTGTCAAATTCAAAGACTTATAGCGTGTATCTAATTGATATGTACACATTTGCATTAGTCCGCCTGTCATCTATACACATGTATTAGGTCAACAGCTAGTAGAGAAACAACTAGCCGCTGATGACTTACCGAAAAATCTATAAAGATTTATGATACTTTCCCGTCATAAATCATAACGCCATTCAAAAATGTCTTAAATCTAAAACAAATCGGACACTCGGGTTACGCGCTTTGATAATATTTTTCTTGTAATCATTCCAATAGGATTTTTATACTTCCTTAAATTAGTTGTTTAGTTGAAGGGTTGTATAACGAGAGTTTTTTTTTAGCAATTTAAACGAAAAAATCGGCACTGTACAATTCGTTTTCGGTTTTTAAATCAATAGTCAATGTCATCCGGTGTTTTTTTTTTCTTCTTTAAATTATCCGGGTATGCATGTAACGCAAAATGGTTTGAAATGGACAGTAACTACGTTTGGCCATGTCTTAATTCTACTCCAGATATAGCGTCGCCTAAAGGCGATTGTAAAACTGGTCCGGTTTCAACTGAATTTATAGGAATAACTTAGCAAATATATGTATCATGTTGATTGAACACCTCTCTAATGAAATAATTTTGATAATTTGTTAGATAATAGATTCATTACTTTATTGTACTTTTATAACATTGTAACCATCTAAAACCAAAGCTTTGTAAAAAATGTTTATCTTTATGAAAAAAATTCTATTTAATTGAAAATGACCTCTTAATCGTTAAAAATTTACACAGTCGATTTTTAAATTTTATCTTGTAATAAGAATGATTATAAAAATGTCCACTGTCCCTCCAAATTAAAAAAATTTTATTGTCTAATGTAATTATTTTTGGCTCTATGGTATTTGGAAACCCTCCTAATATATACCGTTCTGTAAACATGACTCAAATATAAATTATTGTTAAAGTTGTAACTAAATACGCCAAAATTAATATATATTTTTAAATGTTTAGAAAATTGCATTAATAATATTTCTTTATTTATACAATACTAATAAAAATAATACAATATTTTTATAGTCATACTTGGGTAAATACATTCTCAAATATCTTGGGAATATATTTTTAAATCATTATATCAAATATATAAAAATAAAATGTATTACTCAGCCCAAGAGAGAATCAAATTTGACGTTTACGAATTTTTAATACTCACATTTTATGTTATAAATTACAACAACACTGAATATTTAAAATTCAACAATTAATTTTTACATTGAAATAATTATATTAATAATAGATGTACCGAATAATGCATTGAAGACTATGTAAATTGTATGATTAACTTTCATTAATCATGTTTTTAGGTTAGATAATGATTTAAAAAAGTATTTCAAGAGTATTTATGTAAGCACTCTGTTTATGTATGTTTATAGTGTCGTAAATTTTACACATTCAAAAATTTTATTTCGAACATATAATAATAACAAAAATAATAAATACGTTTATTACCCATCTTCATACTTGGTCGTTATATTTTAATTATAGCGAACATTACGTACAGCACAAAATAAATAGAATCAAAAGTAAAAAAAAATTATAGTTGAAGGTCTAGTATAAAAAAATAACAGTAGGTATCATTTATTTATTCTAATATTCAAAAAAAGAAATCCTATGTTTTCCGGTTTTATTTATAAATTTATATCGGATAATAAATGTAAAAAATCTATGTGTAACGAATAAATATTTAAATGATTTTTAAGTGTTGATTTATTTCGTGTATTTAATACAACTTTAGAGTCTTTCTCTTTGTTATCAAATACGAATTACATTATATGATTCATTTTCTAAATTAAAAACAGTGAACATTCCATGCTACACTCTAATTCAACTAATGTTTTAGATAGGTATATTACAAATAAATGATAGATGTCAAATGATTATTTATTATTATTTTATAAATATCACACGGTTTTTTGATACTCATCTGTTTGTCAAAGTTCTGATACACGTTTGGCTAGACAAATAATGGTTAATTTTTAATTTAAAATTTTATAGTATAAATAATTTATTCAAACTTTTAATGGAACTTTGGCCATTAAATTTTTCCTGAAACTGTCGGTCAACGTATCCATTTGTAACTACTCACAGAGTCATTAAACGTAAAATGTTAAATAATCAATATAACCACTTTATACATTAAATTTAAACTGAAATCCTAACCCCCTATATTATTATTTTAATTGCAAATTGTTCCATGTTAGATTTTTAAGAAGACTAAATGCATAATTATGTAATGAAACCTTGATTTTAAATTAAACACACTACTCTCGGGACACAAATCATGTATATTTATTTAGATTTTATGCATGTTATAATTTTAATTTTTTTAATTAAATTCTTTCTTGTAAACAAAATAAGAATTTGATTTCTACTTATTTATTTTAAATGTAGTCTAAAACTATAGTAATTAGGTGAATATTACTCTTTAAATCTCTACACTGCATATACTTAAATATACATAAAATTGAGATTTTTAAAGTCCAAAATGGGTATTGTCACAATCTGTACTGTACTTCAGATATACCTAAAGTATAGTATAAGTTAATAAACTTATTTCCAAAGACTTAATTTAAAAACATGATTGAATATGATTTATAAACCTGTTTACTTTAAGTACATGCAGTTATGAAGATTATGATGTAAATGAATCTAACCTTTGAAAGTAGAGTTTCTTAAATTATTTAGAAAAATGCATACGATTTGTATACTCGTGTCAAAATTTTCTATTATAGACATAAGATAATATAAAACGAAAAGTTAATTTTAACGGTAGCCCGATTTTGTAAATATTACTTCTAAATTTAGAAATAAAATTCATCAATAGGCAATTGAATATTAATAGAAATTGAATAAACTTGATAAATTTATTTAAAATTCAACTAAATCAAACTTTAATATTATTGTATAAATTAAATAGTGTAAAGAAAGAAAAAGATTATTTAAAATTGTTAAGGGTTTCTACAATACAAATTTTTTAGATTTAAAGTTAATGAAAATTTTAATTCAGACACAATTTTTTTAAACTTCTATAAAGTTTATTTATTCGTGTAAATACAAACAAAATGTTTTACGTATTTGTACATAACAAATTAAAAACAACATTGACAAAACTCTCTGTGGTATAACAATTTTGTAGTAATAAATAATTTCAGACCATCCGAGTTACAAAAAAAGAAAATTAAGTTATAACAATATATATTATTAATTCATCGACCGTGATATTGTCTTTAGTACGTTTTCATTATTTACTTCAAATTCATCTTAAGTGACAGTGATTTTGCATAACACTTATTACGTTATTCTTAAACCAATTAACACTGTAACAGTTACCTAAATTATATGTTGTTATATTTAAGTAACGTGAATAGTTAAGAAAATAATTATATTATACGGCCTCTGAGATTTAAATTCTATTTTTGTAAAACAGTCATTGAATTGTAAATATTCAACCTTTGTTGCTCTATATGCTTATCGTTAAAATTCAAAATGAAAATATTGTCATTAATGTTTTTCATTAGTTATATCAGTTTTTTTCATTCTAATGAGTCACTGGTTGACTTGGAAAAAAACATTTCGATTTTAACAATTGAGATAAAATGATTTTACATTTTGTTTCGACATGTTAATAAAAATTGCAAAATGTGAAGTGTAAACCAAATAACTATGATTTTGATATACCTAAGGGGTACTTTTCAAAGCATAATAACAATAAAGTGTGCAATATTATTAAAACCTAATGTCTACCATTTAGTGGCGACTAGACCGATCGATAGGAGCAGCTGATGCAATTTAACGGTAAGAGTTGGCCGTAGGCAATCGATTGTTTTACTGTGCTGATTCTTAAAGCCCGATTACAACGGATGTTTGCAAATACATTTGTACGGTCAAGTTGCTTTTTATTTCCAATTTAACTAATGCATTGGTACGTCATAAAACCCATAGGTTTTACCGTCGGAAGTTTAAAAAAGCTTCCGCTGTCCGTTTTCATTTCGTTAATGGATGGCGTGACTTCCTCTGTTTGCTGTGGCTATTAATCAACGCCACAGTACATCGGCGCTGATAAACGGAGACCAGATATACACCTATAAAATATTATGTTTCTGTACATTATGGCAAATATATTTCAGTACATAAACTGCAGTCACATCTATATTAATTACACCCCGCGCCGAGTAGTATTATGTTACATCGGCGGTAAAATAAATATTAACTCCGAGTTGGTAAAATTTGTTTATTTTAATTAAATGGCAACACACATTTATTACACGATTAATGAAAGAGAAAAAGAAAAAATAACAAATAAATACAATTAAAAAAAAAAAAAAAAAAAAAACTTTGATATGTAAGCTCCAACAGTTTTTGATTTATAATAAGGCACATTAAAAACACAGACAAATTGTAAACAATTAATATTATTTTTGTCAACTACCAATATTACTATTATGTCGACATTGTTACCCGCTGACCGTATTCTGCAATTAGCCAATACGCGTACGTTTAGTGTCATTAGATACCGCAAGTTTAATTTAACGGGACTACACTTCTTATCAACGTAATTATCTTAATAGGATTAAACGCAAAAAAAGTGTTAATAGTAATTTACGTTATTATACAGTGTTCATCCGAAAAATCAATAATTATTTTAATTATAATTAATTAAGTCTAAACAGTCACGGTCTTGGTCGTATCTTTGAAATAAAAACGGAACGTTTTACATTTTTCGCCAGCGAAAAATATTATTTTTATTTACAATAGAGTAACAACATAACCAATTTTATATATACAAACTAATGAAATAGATCTAAACGAGATAATGGAAATAATAAGTTTTGGACAAGTTACAAAAATATTTCAACGTGTTAAATAGTAAACTATAATTATACGATGGTTGTATTAAAAAAAAAAAAAAAAACTTTATTATATATTTCGAAACATAAACAGCCAATAACGTTGAGAATTCAACAAATATTGAACGGTAGAAAGAAATGCCGTGACCTCAACAAGGAAAAAACGTCTCGATCAAGTTAATAGTTTCAAGCTTGAATTGTGCATGTTTCTACTAGACAATATATTATTATACTCTAAAACACAGATAGTTGCTATCGAATTCAAGAAGTTGTCTGATGTCTTTTCACGTGCAGCGCCAAATGGTCCGAACGCGAAAAGGCTCGCGAACATTGAGTGCACTTAAAAGGCCTATCGCCGGTGTGTTTCCTGTAGTGGCGAGTGAGTTCGTCGGATCTAGCAAACCTCCAAGGACACCGGCCCACGCCCTGGTCGGAAGTCGTCATGTCAGCCAATCCGCCAGATAGTAATGCGTTACGATTGCAAGACACAGCTGGTAATCCAGCCACCGAGGCGTTAGTGCCCCAAGGGCACCGGTACGGTTTTTCGCCCGTGTGCGTACGATGGTGGGCCTTTAGATGGGAACTTTTTGTATACTGTTTACCGCACCCGGGATGTTCGCACCTATGTACGGTATTTGTTTTTACAGTACCCGTTGATTTCTTTCCTTGGCCCCTCTTCGTCATCGGCTGACGTTTGGCTGGGCTTTGTGATCCTGAAATTGTTGGTTTAATGGCATCCATACTCTCAATAGGAGATATGGGCGACGCCGACATGGCGCTGACTAAGTTTCCGGTAATCTGCTGCTGTTGGTGAACATTTCGACGCGTTCTGTCCGATTCTGGACTGGCTGGGTATATATAAATTGATCCGTTGTATGAATCGCCATAGTTATCTCCCAGATCTCCGTTTAATCTACATGATCCATAGTCGGAAGAGTACAGTGATTCCGTCGGAGGTTGATGTGGTACAGGGTGTATACTTGTAGTAGAGTTACACGACGATTGACCGTCGTAAACTAAATCTTGGATCAATGTATCCAAATCAAGCAGATATTCTTCGGCACCTGACTCATCTCCGTACCCAACAGCTGCCGAAGGACTGGGGTCCGGCACGGTTTGCTGCATTTGCTGGTACCCCGTATTTGTGGTCATCGTGTGATATCCGTGTTGGCCCATCCACTGCTGATCATTTTGCGGTGTCCAGATATGCCAACTATCATCCTGTTAACAAATATATTTAATAATTGAAGGGATGAGTAGATAAAAGTGTTTAGCGAACGCTTCAGAAATATGAATTTAAATTTTATTCAAAAAAAATTTGTCCATTTTTGTTTATTAAAAATGGTTGATACATTTATTCGCTCAATCCTTCAATTTATTTGAATTACTGGACCCGGAAACGCATAGTTGAGTTTGACTCGCGTTTACACAGCTACTGCACACAAAAGGGCGAAGGGCACGTTGGCCACTAGACAATAATGCAACAACAATGACTACGTTTAATTAAACTAATTACCAGTGTACCGGGGTGGTATGCGGATATCGAATTGGTAGCGATAATATCGAGAGCAATTGCAATCAAGGTTATTAGTGTTAGAAGCGAAAATTACATTTACACAGTTTCTTTTGAACGCCTTCTCCAACAGACAATCATAAATAAACTTGGTTATTATTTCAACGGTGTTTTGCATTTAGCGGATTAACTTTAATGATTTTTGTGCTTTGGTTTTATAAAAATATGTAATGTATTTTTATCCGATTAGAAATTGTGTGCAGTTGCTGCGATTTCATAACGTGGCAATATCGGTTACGCGTTAGGTGATCTATATAAGAGATTTGTCCAGCCAACAGGTTTCTGCACACGCGTTGATCTAGTTACCAGTGGACCGTTTTCTATAAACGAATGGCACGCGACAAACGATCGGATTTAATTGCATAACACAATGCGTTTACATATTATATTGTAGTAATGCGTGCAAGTTGATATTGGAAATATGCGCGAGGATATCGTAGAAACAGTTATGTACTACTTTCACCCTCGAGAGATTTTAACGACCGGCAATCACAATAACAGTTCAAATTTGAAGTTCTGTAAGGATAAGCGATTCTTTGTAAATATATTGAAATGATATCGTATCGTTACTCACTTCTGGTAATAACTGTTGTACTTCTGACGATGCCATCGACCTATAATTTTGAGATGTACACTTTAATAACATAAACTGATCACTAGTTATTCAATACATATCCTGTTAGGCTATTTAGAGCTACAAAAATAAAACGCTCATTAACATTACTATACACTAAACTTTTCCGAACAAAACGGCACCGTTTTGAGCACAGAAACCACTCTCGGGACCGCAGTCGCGCCGCGACTGTGGCGGTACAGACAATAATCACTCCTGTTTGGTATCAGTCGCGTGCCAGGTGTATATTGTATAGGTGGTAAGTACCGTCACCTGGGCGCGCGCACAGCGCTCGAGCTAAACGCCACCGCAGATATTTATCGTCGGTAAATAGTAATATCCTTAATGGTCGCTCCCTCTTCCTATAATCATTTTATAACATCGTTATCTCCGACATCACATTTACTATTATTAAACACACACGCATAACGAACTTAGAATAGACTTTTTTTTTAATAAGCTCGTATGCGTACATTTAACCACTAGTCCCTGTAAGCAGTTAAAATACTGCTCTCTATCGGTCGTTATTGTCTATTTAAAGAAATAGGATTATAACGTTCATCCACAGAGTGTATTTAAAGTGACCTATCAAACTTACTCTTTCAAAATGTCTCATAAACCGTAAATAAAAATATGATGGGAGATTAAAAAAATTATTTTTACTAATTCTTTTTTTTTTGTTTTGTATCAAATTCATAAATTAAAAATTTTACGACTTAAGTGATAAAATATTACAAAGTGGAGAGGTGTGACATCCTCTACGCCACTCACTCGGAACAGCTCTAGCGTAGATCTACATATTTATTTAAGTTATATAAGTTTTTTATGTATTTTGATGATTTCGGTCTTACAATTGTTAAATAGAATCAGTGATGAAATAAGGTATAAATAAAATACATTTCAGAAATCACCACTCCTATACTTGACATCGAAGCTAACAGAATATTAACTGTTATATATAAGAGTGATTTGTTGCGGAAATAATGGTTTTATCGCTCAATTTATAGCACTCCTTTTTTTAGTGAAATATATATATATATATATACATATTTTAACAATATACAATACCAATACAATTATGCAATATAAATTTAGTAAAGAGTTGTATGATTATTTTAATGATATATACATGGAACACAGATCTAACTGATAATACTTATAAAATTATGTCCAATTATCACTTGGCTGTAAATATTTAAAATATATTTTGTATTCTTAATCTATGTTTGATGCATATTTATCAAGTTTATATATTATTAAAGATCTTTATTAAGAAAAAAAATCCAAAAATTTAAAAGTATCTTTTATTAGCGCTTTTCATCCAAAAATATTATTAGATCGGTACTAATTTTGGGTAAAGTAAAAAATTTAGTTATATTAAAAGAGTACATAGCGCGGGGGCACACAGACCAAACTGGTGTAGGTTACACATATTAATACAAACATACACATTCAGGATGCATTAGATCTAACTGACAACTTTTAAAACTTTTGATACAAGTATCTTTTTGTTTAATGATGATCATCTTCTTAAACTATTTTTAAAGCATATTTTTCTTTATTTATCACTGATTAAAAAAAAAAAATGTGTTGACTACAATTTTAGGCCTATTACAGTTTTTAGGTATAACCTTGATCAGTTGTTTATTTGTATACTTTGAAAACTTTTATTGTATTTGTATTTTCTTGTCGCAAGTTTTTTCTTTGTGTGTACTGCAACGTTTTAATGTTTGTTTATTATTATATTTTTTTTCGCCAGTGTCGACTTCAGTATAATTATGTAAATTGTTAGCTTTTCATAGTCGAACCAGCCTCCTGTCTTTAGCCCATCGAGGCTGGTAACGTATAATTTATGTTTCAAAAATGTTCTCAGCTAGATTTTTTGAGTGTGTCGTACCATAAACACTTATTGCGATACTTTTTTTGTATTTTATAGGTTTGTTAATGAGGCAAGCGTTTTCAAATACCCCCTGTCATGTTTTTGTATATTTTTTGTGATTTTTTTTTTTAGTATTTGCAGGTTCACTAAAGATGACGGACGTGTTTCCAAAACCACGGCCTCGCTTTAATTTATATATATTTATATTGAGTGATAAACCTTTTTATGAGAATGTGGTGATGTAGTGCGTATTATTCGGAGTATCTTAACGTCTTACAAGCTACGTCTAATTGCTTTAAAGTAGTCTCTTATTATCTGCTGTGCTTGATAGATTGTCTTATTGACGTTCGATTTATTAAATAGTTGACTGGATCTAAGCCAATACTCTCAATGTATGCTGTAATTAAGTGCACAGCATTCTGATCGCTGGCCTTTAACAAATGTATACAATTAAAAATGTCTATATAATAATAAATTATCTAATAATAATAATAACTACAATATGTATCAAATATCGTATCTTATTAATTAAAATTTTTAACAATAACTGTAAACCAATTCAACGGTTTATTATTTTAGCCGATTAGGCCTTATCATGTTTAAATAAGTCAATTCAACTGTAGCCTTTCAAATGTTAGTGAGTTATTATTTTAGTCTAGTTTTCGTAATATTAATATTTACATAACACTTTATACTTATCCAAAGCAGCAGAGAGTCATGGCGACTTTAATATTTTATTTTCATGAGTCTTTATAATTGTTATTGAACCAGGCTGACAGCTTTCTAAAATATCTGTGTTACAATATCCTAATTCCTCTGAACTGGAATATTTTAGGCTATTATCTAAAATATATTTTACATTGAGGTATGGTATTAACTAATAACATTTAGTCGTAATATAACTAAAATAAAATAATATGTCTACTAGGAACAATTTCTGTAGACTCTGTATCAAACTTAAGTTTTTTTCCTTTTCTATTCTCTCTGCTTTTCTTTTGTAAAATTAAAAACTGTTTGTCCTCTTTAATTTTAATTATATCTAGATATTTAAGTGAGTAATGACAAACAGATTAATTAGTTCTTCCTGAATTTACCTTAATTTATTTTGATGAGTTTTATTTGGTTTTTTTTTCATTTTTCTATATCTCGCTATGTTTCACAATATATTTAAAGTTTTTTGACATAATCTACTGGATACTTTATCGGGATTTGAACTTTATTTCAGTAATAATTGTTAATCACCAAATTTGTATTTTCCGACAAATTAAATGTTACAACTTACAAATTAAAAAACAAAATCTGCATACAGTCTTCTAGTAAAGGCAGTTAACTACCGAAAATTTGATTATTCAATAAATTGTTTGGCGTATCAATTTTAACAAAAAAAAATAATAATACTAATAAAATCAACTTGGGCTATATAAAATTATGGTCTTTTTTAATTAAATCAAAACAAGAAAATTTGCGATAAAATTTATTTTAACTAGATCTCGTTTTACAAGATTACACCACTTGTTAGCTACAAGAGTTTCTTTTATGTAAAGTTATTAAAGTAATGATAGAAATTAAAATTGCCTTGACAGGAAACTGTATCCAGAGTGTGTCAATACAATCTATGAAAGCTCTATTTGAAAAATGAAAATATTTGAATTCTTATAGAAAACCCAACTCTACACATTTTAATTATTTTTTAATCAATCATTGTTATAGAATGATAGAAATTAAAATACAATTTTTTGGCTAATTATAATACCTAAAAGGGACGAATTTTTTAAACAGAAACGATGAATAATACAAGAGTTAAATATGATACCTTTTTTATTTAAAATATAATTTTAGTTGTATTTTGTAAAACACTTTATTATATTCAGTTAACCATGCGTGAATAACCTGGAAAATAAATGACAAATTCAATTTTTTTGGATACGTAAAATATGTATATTTCAATTTTACTTGTTAAATAACGAAAATAAAAAAAAAAAAATGTTAAAAGGTTTATTATAGAACATGTTTAAACCTACAAATTAGGTTTTTGATATTTTATTGTAGAAGATTTTTTTTTAAATATAAACTAAAAATAAAAAAATTACCCTATTTGTCCAACTTTTAAACCCTTTTGCGACATGGGAAGGGGTTAACCATTCGCGATGAAACTTTACCAAACATTTTTATTTATAGTAATAAAAAAAATAAGGTGAAAAAAAATCTCGCAAACAAAAATCTAATTATTTTTTGGAGGACCATCCTAATACTTATATACCCTTGTCACCACAAAAGAAATTATGCTTAGATCAAAATTCATTGCGAAATTTTGTTGTACATCAAATATAAACAACTCGACGGATATCAGTCACATCTTTATTTAGCTTATAATTTTTTCTACATTTAATATAATTATGAAGTAATCAATTAAGAAAAATATTTTCTTTTCCTTCTTATTTAGTAGCTTAACTTAATTATGACACAAAAATTGGACAACATAATTATTTTCTATTCTTATTGTTATTAAAAAATTTTAGATTAACTTCAATGTTTAATTTTCTATTTTTCTATTAAAATTCTATTTTAGTGTAACCTTATATTTCGATATGTAGGTTGGTGATCCTTGTATTCTTATGTTTCTTTCTTTTTCTTAGTAGTGCCATGCAAGTTACAGTATAATTGTTTGTTATGATCAACATTTAAAATTCAACGTGTGCCCTGACGACTTTTTATAAAATATAGATTGGAATAGTTATTTTTTGTATCAAGAGTTTAAAATAAATAGATTATTGAACAATTATTTTAATGAATTTAATCCGTTTTAATTAATTTAGTTGCTGATATGTCCATTAAGTAACAAAATAAACATTATTTTTCTCTTGTAATACAATTTCAGCTCAAGCATACAAAAATACATAAATTAGATTTATGAAAATAATAGTTTTTCTTTTAAGTAAGAGTAATAAAAATAAGTATAAAATATTATCAGATTTATAAAATATAATATAAATTCTCAATTTTTCTTACCGTGAGTTGCCACGGGCCATACATATTCACTATAGCAATAAAATAAAGTAAACTGTGTTATGTAAAACCTTGTTATGCTAGTAAATTATTACACATTTTACTTAAAAGATTACGATTTATTTATGATTTTATTAATAGTTTAAAAATAATAATTATAAATAAGGGATAAAAATAAGTCCAGACAAGTATTGCAAAAATTAACTACCAATCTCTTAATTACTTATATCGCTAGAGGATAGTGACGCCATATAAGGAAAATTTATAGTAAAAACTATTCAAATCGTAATTGAAAAATGATTTTTTTCTAATGAAAGATTACCAATATTTTTATTAATTTTAAGTATATATTAAGAAATTGGG